GCAGCAATGAAGGAATGAAAACCCAAAATCCCTGTAAATGTTCATTAAAACTAATAAAATTTAATAACAATAAAAAAAGGAGTTACATCTAGAATTTATAGAATAATCGAGCACCTCAACAAGATGAACAACCCAATCGCAAAATGGGCACAGGATATGAACAGAAATTTCACCAAAGAACATGGAAAACGAACACATGAATAAATGTTCAAAATCTCGAGCTCTAAGAGAGATGCAAATCAAAACAACTATGAGATGACATCAACCCCAGTAACAATGGCAAAGTTCAATAGAGCAGCAAACAACAAATGCTGGCGAGGTTGTGGAGAAACTGGAACCCTTATTTACTCTTGGTGGGAGTGTAAAATAGTGCAACCACTGTGGAAGGCAGTATGGTGCTTTATTGAAAAGTTAGAGATGGGGGGCTCTGGTGGCCTAGTGGCCAGAAGCTGCACTGCCATCCCAGCAGGGCACGGTTCGAATCCACCTCTGCCGGGGAAGGAGGGACAATCTCCTCCTGTACCAGTCAGATCTGATTTGACGGTACACCCATACACAAATAATAATTTAAAAAAAGCAACACAACCCACCTTAAAAAAAGAAAGTTGGAGATAGAAATACCATTTGACCCAGCAATTTCACTACTGGGAATATACTCTAAAGAAACCACCCAAGCAGATCTATGCACACCTATGTTTATTGCTTTGTTCACAATAGGAAAGAAATTGAAACAACACAAGTGCCCATAAACAAATGAATAGAGAAGCTGTGGTATATTCACACAATGGAATTCTATGGAGAACTGAAAAACAAAAATTCATGAAATATTACACAAAATGAGTGATCCTGGAGGACATTAAGTTGAGTGAAATGTCTCAATCACAAAAGAACAAATACTGCATAGTACCACTGTTATAGAACAGGACTGACATCGGAGTTGGGGGAAAACTAAGGAAAAAAGGAATAAATAATGTATGCTGCATTGAAACAGATGAGGGAAAAGAACTGCTTAGAAGGAGTATATTAATAAGTATTTGCATGACAACAGTCCAGAATAAGAGCTATATAATAAAATGGGCTGGGGATTGTACAACGATGAAAGAATTTTTTTTTTCCCCCAGGAGAAAAGCGAACTGGGGGAGGTGGGCCTGGAGGAAAATGTACAACAGTGAATGAATGGAAATCCAAGTTCTCTACAAACTTTGATTAAAATCTCAATTAAAAAAAAAGAAAAAAATCGATATAATTTGGCAGTTATGTAAAGATCTAAGCTTAAAAAAAAATTCTGATTTCACTGCTGCTGCGGCTGCAGCCGAAATGAGAAAGGTCAGCCACTGTTTAAGAATGGGCTGGTCATTGTGCAGAGAACTACAAGAATGAAAACGCAGCGGGCCGAGACTGTCGCCCAAGTGCACACTGGGAATTGTAGTCCGAAGACGGGAACTCGAGCCAACAGCCCGGTGCACGTCGGGAGCTGTAGTCTGAGAGAGGCGCAAGGCCCGGGATCTCGCCGCCCGATGCACACTGGGAGCGGTAGTCTGTGGGAGGGCCCGGAGGCCAAGTGCACGCCGGGAGATGTAGTCCACGGGCCCGGGCCCGCCCCTCACCTGGCCGGCGCCCGGCGCCCGAGGCGCCCAATGGGAGCGGCGACCGGCTGCCCCTCCCCGCGCCTGCCAGACGTCTGGATCGGGTCATGGCTGCCTCCGGTGCCGGGTCCTTGAATCAAGTGTCGGCCGCTGGGAGCTAACCGCCACCGCCTACGTCCACGTGGGCCCAGGCCCGCCCGCCCGCCGGCACAACAAGGAGCTGCGCCTGCACCGAGGAGGCCGCAGGCCGGCAGCGTCCACCGCGCCCGGGCACATGGCGTCCATCTTACTGAGGAGCTGCCGCGGCCGGGCCCCCGCCCGCCTCCCGCCGGCCTGCGCCGCCGCGCCCAGGGGTAAGCGGCTCGGCGACCGAGGGTCTGGGCGGGTGGGCCTCGGCCGCTCCGGCCGGGAACGGCCCCCGGGGCGGGGCTGGCGCTCGGCCCGTGTCCGGGCTCGAAAAGAGGCCCCGCGGGCTCCCCTCCCTCGGAGTCACGGCGGGAAAGGGACCTCGGATGACCCTGTGGCGGCCGAACGGAGCAAGTGGCCCCCGACTCCGCAGCGCCCCGATGGGGCCGGCCTGATGCCGAGAGGCCGGGGCGATCCCGAGTGGCCTTGGTGATCGCGAGAGGCCGGGGCGATCCCGAATGGCCAGGGTGATCGCGAGCAGCCACGGTGACACCGAATGGCCGGGGTGATCGCGAGCGGCCGTGGGGATCGCAAGTGGCCGGGATGATCGCTGGTGGCCAGGGTGATCGCGGGTGGCCGGGGCGATCCCGAATGGCCGTAGGGATCGCAAGTGGCCGGGATGATCGCGAGTGTCCAGGGCGATCGCGCGTGGCCGGGGGCGATCGCGAGTGGCCACGGTGACACTGAGTGGCCGTGGTGATCGTGAGTGGCCGGGGTGACACTGAGTGACCACGGTGATCACGGGTGCCTGGGGTGACACAGAGTGGCCAGGGCAGTTTTGAGGGTCTCTGGCGATGCCGGGGGTGGGGTGGGGGTGGGGTGGGGGGTAGGGAGGTGCCAGGCCCCTGAGCTGGGGGCTGCAGCAGGGTTGATGCCGGGCATGGTGGCCCTGGGCAGCCTGGTTCAGGTAGTGCTGCTTGGCAGGAATGGCATAGCTGTCACTCTCCGCACTCTAAGGCTGTGACCTTAACAGCTCAGGTCACTGCCAGTTCGATGTAGGAGGACTTAGGAAAGTTTTGGAAACAGTGTGGTAACTACCATTGCTTGCCTGGCAGGCTGGCTCCCTTCTCAGGAACAAGTCCCCGCAGCCACCACTCATGTGCTTTGTTCACACAAGGGGATCCTGAGGTGAAGCTGAGCTGGTGACATGGCCACAAAAATCTGGGAGAATCACTGTTACAGATGAGGGAAAGAACAGTTTAAAAGTGATATGTGGTTGGGTATTACGGTTATGACAGGAGTCCAGAATGAAGGCTGCATAGTGGAGTGTACTGGGGGTGGGGGTGGGGTGGGTGTATTATATACCAATGAAGGAATTTTACTTTTCAAAGAGAAGACCGAACTGGGGGAGAGGGCTGGGCAGTGAGAAAAATGCAACAATGCATGAAAGAAAATCCAAAATCTCTGTAAATGTTCATTAAAATTAATAAAATAAATCTGGGGGATCAGATAAGATCGGTGGTGACCCCTGTGGGCATACTGGGCTCCCAGTTGCATGGAACCAGGAACTGCAGACCCTGCTCATTTAACTAGTTGGCATGTGGAAGGTGCTGGAATGCTGAGCATATGGAGATTTGTGTGACTGGAAGCTGCTAGAATGCTGAGCAGGTGCTCGGGAGCTAGTGTTAACTGCTGAAGCTTTGGGCATGCTGCTGCCTTCCACAGCAGACCATGTAGTAGGAGCTGGGAATATCAGAAGTGATGCTGCTTCAGGGGCAGTAGGATGATGGGAGCCGGACCTGCTGGGCGCAGGTGTGTTTGGCAGCAAAGTGTGCAGGGGGTCCCCAGCAGAGGGAGCTCAGGTCCCTCATGGTGAGACCTCCGGCAGGTCCTGGACCGTTCTGTGCTTTTGAGGGTAACCATTCCAGGCTCCTGGTAAATGCTTGAGTTTTTTACTGCTTTTTTTTTCCCCCCTAAGAATCAGCACAAAGTTTATCCCCAAGTCGCGGTGTATTGTCAAGCAGGAACTGACTCGTAGCTGACTCTCCAGCAGGTTTCCAGAAGCCCGGGAAGAGGGTGCCCATTTCCCCCCGCACAGCAGCTAGTGGATTTGAACCACTTACCTTTGCATTGGTATACAGTTCCTTAGCACTAAGACACCAGAACCCCTTAGTCCAATGAGATGGAAGTTAAAGATGTCCCTCCTTTTCAAACTGCTAAGCTTCTCTGTCATCTCCAGCATCAACCCCTGCCCGCCCTCACACTCCTGTCCCTGGGTTCTGTGCCTTGATGCTTCATCTCACAGAACAGAGAGTCCATAGTCCTGATCCACTGTCAGCTTGGTGGCCTTTTCTGCTCTTGATCTTAGCCAAAAGGCCGAGAAGTGATAGGAAGCCTTTCCCTGAGTCAGGTGGTTGCAGGATGGACGAACACAGGTTATGCTGCAGGCTCATTGGCTACAGAAGTTGGTGCATCTGGCTGGGGACAGGCTGCTGGCCTGAGAACCACAGGTCAGAGTGTGGCAAGCCAGATGCAGGATCCACAACAAGAGAGGGCACGTTGCCAGTGTGATCAGGTATGTTGGAGGCAGAGCGTGCCCTCAGGGAGCGCCCCTTCCAAGAGCACAGTGGTGTGTGGAGGGTGGGGACTTAGTCATACTCGCTAATAAAGCAGTGAGTCAGGATACAGCCACCCAAACCCTGCCTCGTTAACGTAACGGACAACTATCAAATCGGAGGGTAACCACAGGCACAGAGGCACGTCAGGAAATGAGGTATAATTACAGCATTGTACAACCACCAAACAGAGATACTGACCAGCCAGTGCAGATCACGGGGCCCGCATGTTGGCACATCTGAGCCTGTCGCAGGTTCCACACATTTTATTTGCAATAACTGTGAGCTTCCAGTCTCCCTGGCAGACCTGCTGTTGTTGGTCCGGGCCATGGAGTTGGGTATGACTCATAGTGACTCTGTGAATGACGGATCTGCACCCTGTCCTGTCTTGTCCCATTGTCATCGTCTCCAGCACATCTGAGCCCGTTCGTCTCGTTGAGGATCCCCTCTCCTTCACTGACCCTCCACCTTTCCCAGCAGATGTCAGTTTCCAAGGAGTAGCCTCTCCTAACAACGTGTCTAAAGTATGAGAGACAGAGCTTCACCAGTCTTGCGCCAAGGAGCTCTCTGGTTGAACTTTCTCCAGAAGACACCTGTTTGTTCTCTCGGCAGTTCGTGGGACGTTCAGTAATCTTCTGCAACACCAAAACTCAAATGCATCATTCTTCTCCTGTCACCCTTATTTATAGCTCTCAGATGCATAGCAGATGGTTGGAAGGGCTGTGGCTTGAATCAGGTGCATCTTCTTGTTGTTTTAGTGTACTGTGGAGTCGGAACTGACCCGTAGCTGGTTTTCAGAGGCAGTTAATTGCACAGGAGAAGATTTGCCCATCCTTCTCCCACAGAGCGGCTGATGGCCTCGAACTGCGTGCCTTCGGGATTGCAATGCAGCCACCAGAGTTCCCTAAGCACCAAGGTGCCTCCTAGTCCCCCCCCCCCCGCCCCATCTTGTTTGTTTGTGTTTTTTTAAAAATTTATTTTATTTCATTATTTTTTGTGTGTACCATCAAATCAGATCTGACTGGTACAGGAGGAGATTGTTCCTCCTTCTCCAGCAGAGCGTCTGGTGGATTTGAACCGTGCACCTCTGAGACTGTAGTTGCAGCTTCTTGCCACTAGGCCGCCAGAGCTTGCCCTCATCTTGGTTTTTAAATTGACCCTTTGCTCTTTAGGACTTTGGAAAGATCCCTGGTAGCAGACTTTCCCAATGCTGTAAGTCTCTTGGTCTCCAAATATTGGTACCAAGGATGTTAATTGTGGATCCAAGCAAAATGAAATCATTGACAACTTCCATCTTTTCTCCATCTATCCTGATTTCGTGATGCTGCCTGTTGGCCCAGTTGTGAAGATTTTTGTTTTCTGGGTGTTGAGCTATAGTGCATATTGAGGGCTGCAGTCTGTGATCTTCTACAGTTCCGTCTATTGCACGTCCTCCTCCATGTCAGCAAGCAGGGTTGTGTCATCTGCATAACACAGGCTGCTGCTGAGCCTTCCTCTGACCCTGATGTCACCTCCTTCCTAAAGTCCAGACTCAGATGATGTACTCAGTGTAGTGATTGAATAGGTATGGAGAGAGGTGGACCTCACACACCTTGTTTGCATGTGCCACCCACTTATTATGTGGGTGTTCGACTGAGGCTAGGAAAGTCAGGTAATTCACAGGCGCTTTAATCACCTAACCTTCTGGATTTGTTTTCTGGGAAGACTGGGGTAAGGAGAATACTTGTCCAATAAATTGAGAGACAAATAACATAATGTTCAATGGGGGCTTTATGGTTTTCAGAAGCCCCACAAGAAACTCGATTCTGTCTTTAACAGGAGTGGCAGGTGGGGCCTCGGGAGCTGTGGGCAGGGACAGGCTAGGTGGATAGTCTGGCTTTATGTCTAGGTCTGCTTTTTATCTTTGTTCTTGAAGAGTTTCCTTTTGTCCGCACGTTACAGGTTAAGAATAATCCAAGTTGTATGAGCATGAGTGCGGTTTTACCGTTTGTTTGGCTTTTTTACCTTTTTCTTGTGGTTTGGGTGAAAGTTTACAGAGGAGATTTTTTCCCGTTGAACTATTCATACTCATACTCATTTTCTTCTGGGACACTGGTTGAAGTTCCCACAGTGTCACAGCGCTCTTTTCTCCTCGTCCTTGTTTTTCTCACTCCTGTCCTTCCGTCTTTCCTGCCCCTTCTTGCCTTCTGAGCTTTGACCCTGGGCAAGTGCTGCCCGTGTGCCCATGTGTGGTTGATAACACAGAGGAGTGTGCCACGTGTTAATGATCTCCTTAGATGCCAGGGCAACCGGCTGCAGGTTGACTTACGGGAGGGAGCCCACTTCCAGGCGCGTAAGGTGCCTGTGAGACCAGTGTTACTGTTCTTTCTTACAGAGACGCTGAGTGACTGACTTTGGACTATACAGTGGTTTGCTGAAACATCCAATGGAATTCAGCACTTTGACCAAGTTCCTAGGACCTTTGGGTTGAGAAGATCCCTGAGGCCTTAGAAATGGACACTCTAAGAATTGAGAGTAAGGGCAGCATGAGTCTGACATCTCCTAACTTCACAAAGGAGAATTATCCCCAGTAACAGCATCTGCAACACAAACCAATTCCCCTGAGGTCAGATATGCCACCAGCTCCTGCACCCCACTGAGACTACTGCACTGCTGGGTGCAAAATTGATTGCAATAGCTGCATAGACCTCTAGACTTTACAGAAATATTTGCAAGATTATGGAGTTAGTTGGGGAAGTTAGAATGTTGCAACTCTGGGGGAAGGATTGTATAACAATGAAAGAATTTTACTTTTCAAAGAGAAGAGTGAACTGAGGGGAGGGGTGGACAGAGAGAAAAAGGAAACAATGAATGAATGGAAATCCAAAGTCTCTGTAAACAGTTCATTAAAATTAATAAAAAGAAAGAAGAAGCATGTTGCTACTCAGGTTGGCAACAGGATCCAACCCTCAGTTGGGACAGCTTCTAAAGCATGCCTGCAGGCCATTCAGCAGTCAGTCTTGTGACTTTAGGCCAGTGTTACAAAGCTCTCCTTGTCCTGCCAATTCTAGTGTCTTCCCTAGTTCTCCAGCAAGCTTGGATGAGGGGTCCCAGCCCTGGGGCTTCATGGGGCAGCATTCCTGGGTCACCTCTGTCTTAAGTCAGGCCTCTAGTTCCCTGCTGTGGCCACTGTTGCTCCCCAGTCAGGCCCGGTCTGGCTGGCACAAGAATCTCTGGTCTTGAAGGAAGCACACCGTGTTCTCAGCTGCTGCTTTGTTGATAGTGGGTTCCCCAAAGTTCTGCCGCTGAACCTGCTCAATTTAAACCTGGTGTGGTGGTGAAAGTAGTCAATCCTGCCCCGCCATGTGGCAAGGTCAAGGACAATGGCCTCGGAAAGCTATTCTGAACATTAGACTCACAACACCACAGACACCCACCCTTGTCAAGGTCAGCGCTCCCAGGTCCTTCTCTGGAACAAGGGGCCAGAGTGGTCATCAGAGTCCCAAAGGCTCAAAGACTTCCTTGGCCATGCTTGGTCCTTAATTCAGTCATCACAGACCGAGCCAACACTTGCCCTTCCTGTGGGTTGCCGTCCAGGCTTGTGCTGACCCTGAATGAGGGAGACCGTGGTCCATCTCACTAGTGGCTGGTGTTTGGAAGTAGATCAGCAGGCCTGCTTTCCTGCTTGCCAGAGCCCTGCTGAAACCCACGGGGGACCCTAGGGACACTCGAGCCTAGCACAGGAAGTTACTTCAGAGCCCTCGCCACCATGATGAGTGGTCCCAGAGACACATGCCACTTGGTAGGGCAGGGAGGCCCGTGCGCCCATGTGGCTGCCCACCTCCCTACTACATGGTTCAGGCTGGAAGCTGTCCCTTGCTGAATCATGTCCTTGTGAAGCAGGGACAGTGACTGGCAGTTGCTGGGTGAAGGGTGATGAATTGGCTCATGGAACGTGCTGAGGGTGGAGCCTGGATCATGTTTTCTTAGAAGAAACTTGAGGTTTACAGAGGAAACCAGGCTGGTAGGAGGAGAGTCAGTATATGCTCACGCCTACCCTGTTACGCTATAAATGCACGGAAACGATGTCAGTCATAGAATAGAGTTCAAGTCTCTTGTGCAAAGCTTACTCTCAGTCGTATTTGACTTGATGACACTTAACCACTGCTAAATGAAAATAGTGCTGTTATATCTGGAGGAACATTCTTTCACTTTCCACATCACTCTGTCAACGTGCTGTATGAAGTAACCTGGATTTGCTGTGATGCTGAACCTTGTGCCGTTGGGGTATCAAATACCATGATGGTTTCCCAGGGTGGACAGTGTTTGGTGGAGCTCCCAGTTGTAAAACAGGTTTGGAAGGAGGAGTGGCATCCACTTCCTAAAACACGTGCCTCTGGGAACTCTATGAACTTGGAGAAATGATAACAGGTATAGAAAGGCATTAGGTTTTTTGTTCATAGAGTTGCTGTGAGTAGTGCTCAACTCGATGGCAATCAACAACAACAACAACAACAGCTCTGTTACAACATCCTGGGTTAACGACGTGTCACGTTGGCAAGCAGCCATTGACACACTGAGGAGTGGACGTCCACGGTGCCTGTGGATTTCTTTCATGGCTCTCTTCTGTCCCTTTTCCATGCTAGGACCCCATGTATCCCTCAGTTGTCCAATCTCCCTTGATCCCCTGGGGCTGGGACAATTTCTCTGACTTTCCTTTTCTGGCCAGGGCCTCATGGCCTGACGGTCAGACCTGGGAGGGGTCATGCTGTCACCACAGCTCGTCACTGCGGAGGTGAACCTTGCTCACCTGCCGCTCTGTCCTGCACCTTTGGAGGGTCATCGCTGGTGTGGTCCACACTCAGGGGACCTGCTGGAGGGTGTTGAGAAGCTGAGGAGACTTGCCAAGTCGGGGGGAAGGGGGGTGACTCCAGGACGTCAGGCTGGAGTGTGGGGGTGGCGGTGCCCTCTGTCACCAGAGGAAGAGTCAGGAGGAGCAGGTGGGGCCTGGGAGCATTCCTAGCACCTGTAAGGCCTCCAAGTGGAGGTGTGGCTTCCGGAAGGGGTGTCCCTGTGGTTGGGGGAGGCCCAGGGCTGGCCAGCTCAGCCGAGGGCCTCCCGGGAAGTGGTTTTGTGGAGAGTGTGGTGACAGTGGGTGGTCGAGGGGCTTCAGCTCAGGGGACGGTCCACTTGGCGCAGGGATGGCGGTCATCTCTCCCGTTAGCAGGTGGGGACCTTTTTGCCTGTCTGCCCACTGGAGGAGCCACCTCCCGGGTGTCGTGGGAGGTTGGGGCATGTGGTCCCTTGGTGTCGCTGGGACCCCATCACACCACTTTTGTTTGAAGAGGGGAAGGTGTGAATGTCCACTCTGACTCCGCTGGCCATGTCTGTCTGGGCCTTCAGTCCTGATGCCCCAGTGCAGGCAGGCCTCGGACACCAGCTGTGCTGTGCGCAGGTCTCCTGCGCTATATGGAGGGCGTGGGGTCGGGAAGCCTCGGACGCGGCATGAAGCCCTGAAGCAGTGTGTCCTCGTTGCTGTCTCTTGTTTATCCAGAGACGGCGCTGTCCTTGTGTTTGCCTGCTCGTCCTCATGGACCCTGAGTCGCTTCACTGGGGGGGCGCAGTGGCCATCCCTGTCCACTGGAGCCAGCCCTCAGGAATGGTGTCCACCCGAGGTTTGCCCTCAAGGAACCTCTGTGTAGAGCCAGGGGCTGCCTCAGTGCTCCCTGCCCTGGGACCACCCCGAGACCGTTTACTTTCTGGTTAGGACAGATCTCTCACGTCGCTGCATTCTGGAGCCTTCTACGCTCCAGCCTCCGGAAACCTACATGGAGAGGGGTCTGGGAAGGTGGGTTGGTGGCCCCGTGAGGAGCTGTCACTGACCTTTTTTTCGTTTCTGCCGTAGGCCGTCAGGGGGACCGCGCCTGTCTCACTTGTACCGCCACCTCAGGACTGCTGAGCCGAGTGTAAGTAAACCATGGCTGCCTTCTGTGTGTCCGTCTGAACACGGGGCTTCCCTTTGATTTGGAGGGGGACGACGCCTCCCTACCCGTCCTCCCTTTCCTCTCAGTCTCTGGACGATGACTGTTGCTGGTCTGGTACACTGTACACCTCTGTCACACCGTGGTGCCTTGAATGCTGGTCTTGTTCTACGAGGGTGTTTGTGGTTAACACCCACCCTGTGGGCCGTGCCAGCAGACAGCCTTTGAGGGTCCTTGTGTCCACGTGTGGTTGTGGTCATCTCCTGTGGTGTTTCTGTACTTACACACAGCTGCCATTTTCAGTGGCCACAACACCTGGGCGTGTGGGGCAGTGTCCTCGGTGCGCAGGACAGGCCGGCCGCTCTGGGGCATCCTCCTTGATCCTCCCATGGTGTGTTCGTCACGTGGTGACCATATGATGCACGCCGCGTCTGGTTTGTAACAGTGAGCTCAGCAGACCACTGGCTTTTCTAGGCTACTCAGGGGACAGGTGAGGACGTTGGGGTGTAGGGAGTTGTGAGGGGCTCTCGGTGCTGCTGTAGGTCTTGAGGGCCTTTTGGGAGGCCGTCACGGTGGGCTCGTGATGGGGGGATGGTACGGGATAGGGGAAGGTTAGATCACAGGTTTGCTGTGAGTCGACTGGACGGCACCTAATGAGGGCCTGGAGCATGGACACCTGTGTGTCCCTTCCTCCACCCTCCACACTGGGCCCAAGTCCCTTCCCCTCTCCTCCGTGTCAGCCTGGGCACCAGGTCTGTGGCCAGCTCCCCAGACTTGGTTTCGAACACCGGGAGCCCACCTCTCTCCTCTGAGCTCCCCAGTGTCCTCAGGGTGGATGGGGAAAGCACCAGCCCCTGGTTTTTGCTTCATTGAGGCTGTTGATTTCCTGTCTAATTGGTCTCTCCAACTATCTGCAGGGTGCTTCCCAGGATAGATTCAAACCCCTAAGTTGTTGGGGTTTTTTTTTAATTCTTGCAGAAATACTGCAATCCCAGAGGTACACAGTTTGAATCCACCAGATACTTTGCTGGTGAAGGAGGGGCAGTCTCCTCCTGTACCAATCAGATCCGATTTGATGGTACGCACACAAAAAAATAATAAAAAAAAAATTCTTGTGCTCGCTTTGGCAGCACATATACTAAAATTGGAACGATTCAGAGAAGATTAGCATGGCCCCTGCGCAAGGATGACATGCCAAATTCGTGAAGCGTTCCATATTTTTGACCCTGAAATTAACCAGTCTGTAACGAAGGCTAACTCCTTTCACCTACAAATTTCGTCTTTGGATACAAAGCTAAGTGGATAGTCCTTACGGAGGGACTGTTTAAAAAGAGGCAGGGAAAAGAAAAGAAAAAAAAATTCTTAGCGAGCTTTGTTGGCCTAGTGGCAAGAAGCTGCACTGCAGTCTCAGAGGTGCACGGTTCAAATCCACCAGATGCTCTGCTGGAGAAGGAGGAAGAATCTCCTCCTGTATCAGTCAGTTCTGATTTGACAGTACACACAAAAAATAATGAAATTAAATAAAATTAAAAAAAATTTCTTGGAAAAGTAACATGACAGTATCGTAGCTCGCTAACCTCACAGAAGGGAGGAGGGAGTGTCCCCTGCATCAGTCTAGCGCTGATTGCTGCAGGCTGAGGGTGGACTTGTCCCCTCTGCTCCTCGAGCCAGTGCTCACACCACCATCCCCCTCCTGCTCTCTTTGACTCTGTGGCCTCAGGAATTCGTTTCAGTGGCCACACCACTCAAAATAGTCAAGGTTATGGGTCCGTTGGGGAAGGAACAGGTAACAGGTTATTGTTGTGTTGTTCCGTACCATCTAGTTGGTACGGACTCACAGCTGACACTCCAGAGGGTTTGTTGTTGTTGATTGCCTTTGAGTCGAGCACAACTCCTAGCAACCCTATAAACAAAAGACTGAAGCCTCTCTGTAAATACCATCATTTATCTAAGTTCATAGAGTATCCAGAGACATGTTGTTTAGGAAGTGGATGCCACTCCAGAGGCTATAAATCAAGGGGAGGAAATTACCCATCATTCTCCCTTGGAGGGGCTAGTAGATTCAAACTGCCTGCCTTTGGGTTGGCAGCACACTTCCTTTCCTCTAGGCCATCAGAGCTCCCTATCAGGTTACTAGACAGGGAACAGATTCAGGATACAGTTCTCTTATCTAATCAGTGTCCCCTTGGCTGTTGCCGCAGGGTCCAGTGCTCTGGCCTGGTCTCTGTACTGCCTGGACAGGTCTTACAAACACTTAGCTCAGCCGGCAGGCACCAGTGGCCCCCATGCTGTCAGCAGACGTCTGGCCTCAAGGCAGTCAGCGCTCTTGCTCCGCGGGCTGGAAGGCCACCACGCCACTGTAGGTCCCCTGTCTCGCAAGCCTTCATTATCTCTGGCGTCACAGCCCTCTCTGTCTTCTGGCTCTGCCTGGCTTAGTTATCTGTCTCCTGGGTCTCTGGGGTTACAGCCCACCCGCTATCTCCTGGGTCTAGGAGCTTCTCGGCACAGCTGCGCTCAGCCCCCAGTTCTTTTCCCTTTTTTTTTTCTCTTTTTTAAATTTTATTATTTTTTATTATATTTTAATGAAAGTTTACAGAAAACTTGGATTTCCATTCATTCATTTTTGCTCATTTTCCTTCCTCTCCTTGGCCCCCAGTCCACTTTTCTGTGCACCTCTTATTCTGAACTATTGTTATGCAAATATTACCTAATCATATATTTCTTTTAGATAGTTCTTTCCCTCATCTATTTCAATGAAATGTTCATTCATTATCCCCTCTTTTTTTAATTTCTCCTCAACTCCAATATCAGTACTATTTTATAATAGGGATACTATGCAGTATTTGCCCTTAAGTGACTGAGATATTTCACTCAGGCTCACCCATTTTGTATAATATTTCATGAGTTCCTTGTTTTTCAATGCAGCGTAGTATTCCATTATTTGAGTATACCACAGCTTCTCTATCCATTCATTTGTTGGTGGGCACTTGGGTTGTTTCCATCTCTTTGCTATTGTGAACAAAGCAGCAGTAAGCATGGATGTGCGTATATGTGGTTGGGTGGCAGTTCTGGTCTCTTCAGGGTATATTCCCAGTAGTGGAATTGCTGGGTCAAATGGTATTTCTATTTCCAACTTTTTGAGAAAGTGCCATACTGCCTTCCACAGTGGTTGCACCATTTTACACTCCCATCAACAGCGAATAAGGGTTCCAGTTTCTCCACAACCTTGCCAACATTTGTTGTTTGCTGCTCTGTTGAACTTTGCTGTTGTTACTGAGGTGAGATGATGTCTCATAGTTGTTTTGATTTACATCTCTCTAGAGCTAGGGATTTTGAACATTTCTTCATGTGTTTGTTCGTCATCTTCTTTGGTGAAGTGTCTGTTCATATCCTGTGCCCATTTTTCAGTTGGGTTTTTTATCTTGTTGTGGTGCTCGAGTAATTTATAAATTCTAGATATAAGTCCCTTATCAGACATGTCATTACCAAATATTTTTTACCAGTCTGTGGCTTCCCTATTTACCCTGCTCGAGAAGTTTTTGGATGTGCATTGGGACTTGATTCTTAGAAGGTCCCATTCATCTGTTTTATCCTCTTCTGGTTGTAGATTTTTCAGGATGCTTCAAAGACTGTTTATATTGTGGATTAGGACTTCTAGTGTTGTTCCTAGCTTTTCTGTAATGAATTTTATAGTCCTTGATTTTAGTCCTACGGCTTGATCCACTTTGAGTAGGTTTTTGTGTATGGTGTGAGATGTGAATCTTGCTTGAGTTTTCTAAAGATAGTTTTTCAATTTTGCCAGCACCATTTGTTAAAAAGGCTGTTGTTTCCCCACTTAATTGATTTCATCTCCTTGTCAAAAATCCATTGACCATAGGTAGATGGGCTGATTCCCCCCATTCTTCTTTTTTTTTTTTTTACATGCATGGTGAGCGTTTTATTTTTCAAAGAGGAGTTCTAAAACATCACACTAAATCAGGTCAAAAGGTAAAGTTTAAAATAGACTGTTTTATAAGGATAAATGATAATATATGTAATGACTGTTCACTCTGCAAAATCTTGATCTTAGGGTGTATGATACACCTAGTTGGCAGTAGCCCCAGGTTTTCCAAATTAGCTAGGCTTCATTTTTCTCTGGTCTGCAAAGACTTCTCACTAGCTGCCTTCTGCTTTTGTTGCATGATCTCGGAATCCCTCTGCTTTCTCTGAGAGGCAGTCAAACTGTCCTTTTTTGTTTTTCCCTTGATAATCTCCTGGGTTTTCTTCATGTTTTTCTGGCGGCCAAGTTCTCTCTGATTTCCACGGGCCATCCCGACCACCGAACCGAGGCTGGAAGAGAGGGACTGGGAAAATCAATGATTCCCTGGTGCCCCCCCCCCTTCTTCTTGATACTAGGGAAGTCCCTTCTCAGTTTCTGGATTGACTTCTTTTAACTCTGCGAGATGACAGAGCTACCCGTCCCATCCCTCATTGGGGTTCCATGCACCGGATTTTCATGGTTGCCTATGGTGGAGTGCCATGTGCTCTATTTGCCTTATTAGCAGGCTGTCCAGACACTGTTTGCATAGTCTCACCTGATTGTATGAGAGTCGCAAAGACCCGGGCTGGAAGGTCCAAGGGAAGGGACTCGCTTCCCCAGTGAGTTCATGTCATACAGGACTATAGCGCTGGCTGGGACTTCCTGGCTTTTGTGAGGTGCTGTGTCCCCCTCCCTGATTGGAGCCGTCCCCTGCTGGCCTAGCTGCTGGCTCTTTGACGCTGATGTCACTGGGTCCTTCAGCACGCACCTGTTCCCTGTTCCAGTGTAGGCATTCACGTGGAAATGTAGCCCACCTCATCGCATCCTAAGGACCCCCTTCATCTGGGTGGCCTTGTGGGGGCCCAGCCTGGTGAGCAGAGGGTGCTGGTCCATGCAAAGCTGCAGCCAGTGACTTCCATGATGACGGGGTGTCTTGGGAAACGAGAAGGCTGACTTCGTGCCCCTGCCGAGCCCTCCTGAACCCCAGGTGTGCTGTGAGGCATGGGTTGCGTGGACCCCCTTTCTCCAAGGTCCCCACTGAGTTCCTGCTTTTTCCTGATGAGTTCTCGGAAGTGCTAGAGTGTCTGGGACGCAGCTCTCACATGCTCTTGTTCAGATCTTTCTCTGATCTGTGGTCTGTTAGTTCTTGTTCGATGGTCTCTCTTCTGAAATAATCTTTGTGCGGTGTAACTGCTGTGTCCTTTAACCTGTAAAATGGTTTGAGACCTGCAGCTCATGGTGACCAGGTGTACCTGTGCTCTGCAGGGTCCAGGGCCAATTACCTGGAAATAGGTCACCAAGGCTTTCTTTTGAGTCACCTCTGGATGGACTTGAACTCCCCAGCTCTTGGTAGCAGTCAACATGTTCCATTTGCCCTCCAGTTGTTGTTGTTGTTATGTGCCGTGGAGTCGTTTGTGACTCATAGCGACCCTCTGCCCTCCAGGGCCTCCCATTATTGCTGGTGTGGAAGGTACTCATTTGCTGTGTCTGCACATGGTGCTTATTTATGTATTTTGTTGTTGTGTGCGTTGAGTCAGAACTGACTCATAGTGGACGCTCTAGCGGGTTTTTAGAAACAGTAGATTGCACGGGAGGAGATTGCCCATCCTCCCACAGAGCAGCTGGTGGATTAGAACCGCCTGCCTTTGGGTTGGCAGCACACCTCCTTACCACTAGGCCACAGTCTCTGACTATTGGCCATTGATTTTCTAGGGATGCAGAGGTAGCCATTGTCCCTCGCCTCCTGGTGCTTTTGACTCTCCTGCTGCCTCAGGTGTGGCCTCGGGTTTGTCATCACAGCAGCTGTGGTGGTCACTTCACCACGTCAGGACACTGGAAGACGTGGTGGACAGAGGAGCTAGTGTTGGAGGCTGTGTTACCGCGTGCCATCGAGTTGGAGCAGACCCATAGCTGACCCTCCGCAGGTTTTCCGAGGCAGTAAATGACACAGCGAGACGGCCCATCCCACCTTTCTCCCCTGGAGCAGCTGGTGAATTGGAGCCACGTGCCTTTGGGATTGCAGTGCACATTCTTACCACGAGGCCCCAGAGCAGAGCTCCACTCTTAATTTTAGTACAGCAAAATACGTGTTGCAGTGTGGACCCCCACATGTCCAGGCGGTGGCTGTAGTTACAGACGCCGTCACCAGACCCGGCACCACGGCCCTGCACACTGTAGCCACTCCCCCGCTCCCTCTCCTCGGCCCTGCGCCCACTCGTCAGCTTTGCTCTCCACGCTCTCCGTCCACAAGTCATGCAACTGAGAGAGCTCAGGTGGCCTCGTGGCAAGAAGCTGCACTGCAATCCCAGAGGCACGCGGTTCAAATCCACCAGATGCTCTGCTGGAGAAGGAGGGACAGTCTCCTCCTGTACCAGTCAGATCTGATTTGACGGTACACACACAAAATAATAAAAGAAATTAAACTAAATGAATGCATGAATGGGATCCTGGTGCTGGTCCTTTCGTGTCTGACCTGTCTGACTCAGTATCGTGATTTCAGAGTTTGTCCACCTAGTGGACGCAAGACCTCACTTGTCTTCATGGCTGCGTGCATTCCTGTGCCGCCTGTGTACCCTCATCCATCGGCGGACGCCGGCCTGGTTTCCACCTGTGGGTGCCATGAATGCTGCTGCGGGGAGCATTGGTGTGAAGTATTGTTAACGGTCTGGGGTCTGTACATGGGAGAAAGCTCTGGTGGCCTAGTGAGTAAAGAACTGACTTGCCTACCCAAAGGTATGTGGTTCGAATCCACCAGCTGCTGTGGGGGAGAAAGCCGAGAAGTCTCCTCCTGTGTGATTTACAGTCTCTGAAAACCTGCTAGAGGGTCAGCTATGAGTCGAGTCTAACTCGATGATACATAGAAATAACGACAGTAATTTCAGCCCTGGCAGTGTGATGTGTGATATGACAGGCTGCCAACCCCAGAAACACTGGCCCTTTGAGCTCACTCACTGGCTGCTCTTTGGGCAAAAGATGATTAATCTCCCCTGTCAAGACTGACAGCCTCCAAAACCCGAAGGGAATCCCACCGTGGGTCGGAACCAGCTCTGTGGCTGATGGTAACTGGCTGTGTAACTTTCTAAGGACCCACCTGTTCCCCACAGCAGCCTTGCCATTCACAAAGAACGCTAGCAAGGAATGAGCGTTCCAGAGGCCCTGCACCTGTTTGGTCTTGATGTTTTTGATAATTGCCAGGGATGTGTCCTACCTCCATACCTTGTCAATCTGTATGCAGAACAGATCATCCAGGAGGCTGGGCTCTAAGAGGAGAAGTGTGGCCTCAGGATTGGAGGAAGATTCATCAACAATCTGCGTTATGCAGATGACACAACCCTGCTTGCTGAAACTGAGGAGGACCTGAAGCGCTTGCTGCAG